CTATAAGGCTTTGAAAGGGCTCACCTCACATTACTTGCAGGAACTAGTACATTTATATATTCCATCAAGGTTATTAAGAGCTTCTGATCTCCTACTGCTCGTGGCTCCCACAGGTCTAGGTTGCACTCTTTTAGCGATCGGGCTTTTGTTAGTGTGGCACCCAAGCTATGGAACGCCTTGCCACTTGAAATCGGGAAATATATTTAAGTCTGCTTTTGAAAACCCATCTCTGTAAAGTGGCCTTCCCTCTTTAGTTTGGTCGGTTGCCCTGCTTCTGTTTTTGTTTCCTGCTGTTCATGGATTGCGCGTTATTTGAATTATTATTTTAAATGTGTGGTGGTCCCTCACACTGATGATGTTTTATCAACGAAGGTGCCTCCCCCCTCCACCCCCCCCTGAAAATTATTGAATAGCACTGCTAGTCTAACTGATATCAGGCCTAGGGTGGCCTCGTGGTTGCCAACTGGGCGATTTTGTCTCCAGGTCTCCGCGGGCTCTTCTTCGTCCGACGGGATTCCGTAGCGACAACGTTTTTGCCAAAGCGACTAAGGGACAACTCTGGCTAAGTTGTTGATTTTTTTATGCAACGAAGACGTGATGCGAATTTATGCTCGATTCCAGGTCTGCGTCAATAAGGATCGCGTGTATCAGCTTACTTGCTCACGTCTGGCACCTCGTGGTCTTCCGTTCGGTGGCAGTTGTGATTTTGCGAAAGGTTTCAGCTATTCGCGACATCTAGAAACGGTTTTTTGAGGTTCGTTTGGCCATTTCTCCCTTTAATAATAATGATGAATAATATGCATTATTTATAGAGCCTTTGAAAGATCACAAGCGCCGTACATACGAAAACGTTAACACTCCATCGAATAGGAAATAAATAGAGTGCTCGACAAGACAGATAAGAATACGGCTTTTTGCAACACTGCCAGGCGTAGTAGCCACCGCAGGTTGTATGCAATATCAACTGAAGATTTATTTACGTATTTTATAAGCGGTATAGCTGTTCCAATAACAGTGTTTAGGGGTCAAGGCTAATTATCGTGGCCCAAACGGAGGCGCTCCCTTGCTGCTGTCTCAGCTGTGGTATTGAGCCACAGCTGAGACAGCGTCGGACGGAGCTCCTCAACGGATTTTGGAAGCCCGGGGCAAAAATAGCCATAGCCACATGAGCCCCTCCTCTGAACCCCCCACCGCCCCCCTCTATTTCTGAGGGCCCCCCTCTGATCTGAAGCCCGGGGAAAATTACTCCACCTGCGTCCCCTTCCTTCCGCGTCTATGTAGTGTGAATGCTTTTGATTTGGCACGCGTGTTTTTATATCGTTGTGCCGCGTGGATGTCATTATTATACACGCTGTGCGTAAACTCGAGGATTGAATGGTGATTGCGATGGTGGAGATCAGGAATGCTATGCGTAGGAAACCATCAACATCATCACAAGAATACACAAATATCACAGCAGTACACACCCCGTAGAGAGACAAAGATCCTGTTGGGACAAGTGCTGTTAGCGAGCACATATGAAGGTTGGCACGGCACATCAATAGGTGGGTTGTGTGGCAAACAACACGCCCGGGCCACCTTTGTCTCCCCAATGCTGATGTTTTAACACCGCAAAGTTACTCATTTGAGGCTGAGTTGACCTAGGCGAATCCCGGGACCGGTTCTCATATCCGTCACTGATGTTGGCCGTGAGCGGGGCAATCTAACTCGGGTCGCCGGGTTCGTCGCGCGTTGCACTTTTTACTGTGCCGTCACTCCCCACAGACATCACACGTTTATACCATCACGTACACACATATACACATCATGTACGTAACCACATGTTCACACAATATATGCCTACGCACACACGATACATACACACAAACGCACGTACGTTTAGACAAAGATCCCACAAATAGCCTTAACCAGACTGTTGGCGCAAGTGCTGTTAGCGAGCGCCGATGGAAGGCCGGCACAACACACGAAGGGGTGGGTGGCCAGCACCACGCCCGGCCGCCTTTGTCTCCCGAGTGGTGATGTTTACACACAGCACCAGGTACTCGTTTGTGTGTGTTTATGTGTAAAGGCTGTGTCAGCAAGTCTCAATGTGAAGACAGGGTGTCAGCGAGGCTGGAGGCAAAGACAAGGCGCCAGCAAGTCTGGAGGATCTTGGTTGGGGAATTCCCCAAAGTGTCCAAAATAGACGGTTGGGGAAATTACCCCAGAGAATCCACGAGGATAAAAGCAGGGCAAGAAGGGAGGTTCGGGGCTGTCGAGAGGGACTCAGGCCGTCGTTGCTGTCTTCACGTTGTCGCTGTCTGCTCGGTCATACGACCTCCACGTCGGCATTATCTCATGACGACGTGGTCCTAAGCTACATTACGTGCAAGAAAATAAACCTCTCCAGCTCGAGTCTGGGGTCGTTATGCATGCATACAGAGTGCTGTTGGCGAGCCACGTGCTGAGGTCGAAACGGTCCACGTGGTGGTGGTGTGGTCAGTCCCACGCACGGCTGCCTTTGTCTCCCCCAGTGCTGACGTATTTACATCGCAGCAGGCACTCATTTAATGCTGAGTTGATTTAGGGGAGGCGCACATATATATCACTTGCAAACTGATGTTAGCCGTGGTCGAGAATCTAACTCGTGTCTTGGGGTTTCATAAATCAAGCAGTGCGCTAACCACTGCGCCGCCGCTCCACACGTTGCTATATTCCATAGACAAGTTTCACATTCATAAACACGTTGACACACACTCGTACACACATGATGTTAAGTACACGCACACACAGTTTACATGACAACACAAATCACAAAATGACACACAAACATATATACACCCAAACAAATGGCTAAAATCCACATGCACACCCAAATACATACACACATAAATGACGAAAGTCGACACACACACATTACAAATATCCACACGCACAAAGACAAAGATTACTCGTCGTCTTTAACAGGCTATTGGGACAGGTGCTGTTAGCGAGCACTGCTTAAGGCCGGAACGGCACACGAGGGGATAGAGGTGTCCAGCACCACGCTCCGCCACCTTTGTCTCCCCAGTACTAATTTAAGGCTGAGTCGATCTAGGCAGGGGAGAGGAGAGACCCAGGCCCGATTCATATAATCATCACTTGATGTTGGCCGTTTAGCGAAAATCAAACTAGGGTCGCCGAGTTTGTAGCGCGGTCCGCCAACCACTACGCTACTGCTTCCCACGCGCGCGTGCGCGTACACACACACACGTACAAACACTTTTAAAACCCACAGACGCACATTAAATACGTGCATACAAATGACACAAGTCTACGTGAACACGCAAACATACACACACTGTACACACAAACAAAATGAAAACACGTACGCGCAAACACATACGGCAAGTCCCTACTCCACGCGTGTTCACACTATAACGCTATAACGCGGTTCTTCAACTAGGGAGCACTTTTTGCGGAACGCGCCCGTTATAACGCGGTTTCTAAACGGTCGTTGATGAACTACTTGCTCGAGCTGAGCGGTACGGCACGCGTAATGATACAGTGACGCGACGGCGTACCCTCACTTGTTTGTCCCGTCATCTTACTGCGTGGTATGCGTAGCGGATCGTAACTCGACAAACTTCATCGTTATACTATTCGTGGGGGGGAATTGTTTTTCGCTTGGCGCGGCACTATTTCAGGAACGCATTGACCGCGTTAAACGAGGAATCACTTGTGCAGCGTAACATACACACCACAAATCACAAGATCCACGGGAGAACGCCAACAGCTCATCACGTCTCAACCCCCAACAGTCGGGCCGCGCACGTGGCCGCTCGGTTAAACGAAACCAAAAAAATAGCTAGAGGCGCAGCCCTGCAATGACTCGCTCACGCCACTGCCAGAGGAAGGGCTTCCCAACAGAGGGAGCCACAGATCGAGGACCTCAACTCGAGAGTATTTGGCCTACTCTTCCACGCTGGCCAGATGTCCCGGACGTCTTGGAAGAGGTGGCGGTAACCGGTAACCCACACATTACCCCACCACGCGAGACTCCCCTCCCCGATCGACGAACTGTAAGAGGAGCGGTGGGATTTAAACGACCGTACCCATTGTTTCAACTGGCGTAGCGGGAGATTGAATCGAACCGCTGACCTCTGAATTGCCAAGTGCCTTATCTTCCTAAACCATGATATCCTGTACACGCTGCTGTGATCAAGATTCTGAAACACCAAAACAGTCTTCACCCGGGTTTGCTGATGATGTCCTATGGATGGTTAAGATTATTTAGCTCACACCCCCCCCACCCCAATCAAAGATCATTCTTTAAAAAAAATACGCTTCAGTTCGCTTTCAGCGCAAAAGGTGAACAGCTGTTGCCTCATACGATGGTTGTTAGAGGCGCGTGACAACGCATCGAATTGTTTAATCTCCACTCTCACGATGCATGCTTGAGATAACACTCGATGCTTTTGTTTCGATGGTGTCTATGAAGTATGTGCAAATGAACCTTATGGCGGAACCCCGGAGTCCCATAAGCTCTCGAATAAACTGCATTGCGACGTCATGCTGAAGGCGAACGATATGGCAATCGATTACTCTCGACGAGTTCTACACGATGCGCTAATCAAAGTTTTGTTTCTTCTGCGCATTCGTCCTCTATGCGCTTGGACATGACATGACAACAGAATGATTCGCGCCAGGTGGGTTGCGGCGTTTATGTGCGTGGTGGGACGGAGTCGCCAAAAAGAAATAAATAAATTACGATTTTTTTTTTTGACTCCCGTTTATTTGGGACCCCGGGGTCCCGCCATGAGGTTCAATTGGATAACGTATAACTGTGCGGCCACGAGAAGGGCTATATTCACCACAATGGTTACGGGGAAAGACAAAAAAACACCCCAATAATTCTTGAACCCCCGTTTCCCCACCCACCCCGCCCTTCCCCCCCAAAACAAAATCATCGTGAAATCTCACCGAATGACAAGCGGGGAGAGCCATTGGATATCCACTCGATATCGCAGCAGTGCCCCCCCCCCCCCACCGCGGTTACGTCATCGCGGAACGGAACATGGCAGTTAGGCGCTGGTATATAAGAGTCGCCTTCACGCCCCTAGCAAACGGTCCATGAACTCTACCAGTATCCACTTCTTCTTGGAGCTGGTGGCAATGGAAAGGAATCTGTGTAGTGTAACAACAACAAACACATCGTCACTACGCTCCAGAATGGCGATGGCATCGTGGCATGCGAGGCGTACTGGAATTGCTGTTTTGTTTTACTGTTCGCTTACGCGAAGGAGACATCGTGTTTGGATAAATATTCAGGTCACCGCAGTGTATGCACGGTACAGTATGTTGAACCTTCTTTCTCGCCGTACCTGGCCAACCGTGCTAATCGGAGGTGTGCAGTGACATTCGCAGCAGCGCTTATGGTGGCGGTCGCAAGAGTAGATCTTATTTATTTGTGTTATATTTCGTCACCAAAATTCGTGTCGGAAAACACGGCTACGCATCTTAGGCGTGCGTCTATCTACAAGGTGAGAGCCGTTGGCTTTCTTCCTCTCATCATGTGACATGCCGTGAACGGATGATATGTCAATTGTAGAATTGGGAGCAGGTTTGTGGCTGAGGTGATGATTACCATAACATAATTATACCACCGCCACCATTATCATAATCACCGCCACCACCACAATTATCATCACCACGACCATCATCATCACATCCTCGTCTCGTCGCTCAAGTCTTCCCCGTCTGCCAGCGGAGCGCGAATGTGCGCACACAGGAACCCGGTTCGGGCGCAATTTTGCACGTTCCCCAAACATTGTGCCACCTCGCAGGAAGAGCGGCCGGCAGCCTCTGACGAGGGCTGACGAGAGAGGCGCGGTTGTTGGCGGTGGTGTAATTGGTGTTGGTGGTGTGGGTTGTTCGGTTCGTGGTGATGCTGCTGCTGCTGATGTTGGTTAATGTGCTCGTGTTCTATCATGCTTGTATCCATAGCAGACCAACCTACGCTCGCCTGCGAAGTCAACTTTGGCCGCTGCCTAAGTTCCTGCTGTTGCTGCTGCTGCTGATTATGAAGAGGATGACGATAATGATGTTGGCGATGATGCTGATGTCCCCTTTCCATCGTGCCTTCGCTCTCTGAGTCTGTGACCCAACTCACACTAGCCGTCTGCTGCTGCTGATGGTGATGCTGATGATGATGATGCTCTTTGGTTTGGACGAGCGATGATGTCGACGAGCAAGATGAAGTTGATGACGTCGATGATGAGGACGATGACGTTGCCGAGGACAGAAAAGGCGACAGAGCCGATGGTGAATCTTGGCAGAGTAACGCATTCCCCGTGGATGCCACCTCCTTGACACCTTTTCCGAGCATATTTTGCCCCACGGCCACACGCACCCCCTGGGTTCCCGCCTGCCCCTGGAGCCCTGCGAGGTCCAGGAGGAGGAGGTCTCCCTCTGACCCGACCCTGAAGGTCGATGCGGCTCCACCGCCGTGTCCTCCGCCGTTGCTGTCGGCGAAGTCCGTGACGCAGCTCACGAAGCTGTCGGCACTCGAGAGGCTTCGCATGTCGCTCACCTTGGGGTCTCTTCTGGACGGAGGAGCAAGGGCGCGGGGCCTCGGGTTGATGCCCGCTCCCTGTTCGGACCACGGCTCTGTCGGCAGTGGCATGAGCGCCACCCTCGGCGTCGTCGACACCAGGTCACTGTACATCTTCTCAAGCCTCCGCGCGTTCAGGTGCTCGGGCGCCTTTACGTTGCTGCTGCCGGCGGTCGTGGTGGTGATGTTTGTGGTGGTGCAAGTGGCGTTGTTGAAGGCCGCGGTGATGGCCACGGCGCTACCCGACGACGCACCACCACCGACCTCGACGACGCTCTGGCCTTGCGCGTTTCCCTCGGCTGCATGGCCTCCATCTCTGGCCGATGACGACGACGACGACGAAGGTGCAAACCTCTGCAACGGGATGTGGTTCACCCGCTCACTCTCCCCGGTGGGTGAAATCCTCTCCGTGTCGGGCAACAGCTTCCCGCTGTCCCCGTCCTCCTCCACCGCCGTCGCCGACGCCAATGCGTTCGATGCCGTCGTTGCCTCCAGACTGCGGGCGAACGCGTCCCTGATGTTCATGGAGACGATGCTTCCGTTCCTCTTGGCCCTGTCGAGAGCCTCGCGCCGCTTCACCGCCTTCTCCTGGCGCTTCTGCTCCTTGTAGAACTCGCTGAAGTTGTTGACGATGATGGGGATGGGCAGCGCGATGACGAGCACGCCCGCGATGCAGCACAGGCCGCCCACGATCTTGCCGAGCAGCGTCTTGGGGTAGATGTCGCCGTAGCCCACCGTGGTCATGGTGATGGTGGCCCACCAGAAGGAGGCGGGGATGCTGCGGAACTTGGTGCCGTCCTCGTCCTTCTCGGCGAAGAAGACGAGGCTGGAGAAGATCATGATGCCCATGGCGAGGAAGAGGATGAGCAGGCCGAGTTCGTTGTAGCTGCGCTTGAGCGTGAAGCCCAGCGACTGGAGGCCTGTGGAGTGGCGGGCCAGCTTGAGGATGCGCAAGATCCTCATGATGCGGAAGATCTGGACGACGCGGCGGACGTTCTGGAACTGCAGGACGCTCTTGTTGGACTCGGTGAGGAAGATGGTGATGTAGTAGGGCAGGATGGCGAGCAGGTCGATGACGTTCAGAGGGCCCTTGAAGAACTTCCACTTGTTGGGCGAGGAGGCGAAGCGCAGGAGGTACTCGGTGGTGAACCAGGCGATGCAGACGGCCTCCACGTGCGCGAGGTTGGGGTTGTCCGTGGCCTGTTTGTACTCGTCGATGTGTTGCAGCTCCGGCAGGGTGTTGAGAGACAGAGCCACCGTGGACAGGATGATGAAGAGGATTGAGATGATGGCCAGGACCTGCGGGAGAGAGGGAAGTGGTTAATGATGGGCTGATGACGTTGGAGTCGGGGGACAATAGAGGAGGTGGGAGGTATGCATGTTGAACTTCTTTCGCGCCGTACGTAGCCAACCGTGCTAATCGGAGGCAGAGAGACACAGAGACGGTGGGGAGGTGATGTGGTGCGAGATATTAGAGATGGGAGTGGTTATAGATAAGGTAAAGAGATTCCATGAAGAGTGGATAGCTCGATAACGAGGTGGATGAACAGATAGATCTATGAACAGACGTGAGCAGATGGATACGGCAATATAGACATGATCACGAAGACAAATGAACGGATTTAAAAAATACAGACATCAATAGACATTACACGTGAATATATCCATATGTGAACAGATACACGCATAGACACATGGAGATATATCTAGAGGAGATAGGCGCGGGAGGTGGACAGATTTGATGAAGAGTTCACAGACATATGATTGGTAAGAAGATGTGAGGACCGATACATACTTAACAAAGACCCCGCTTAAAGCATTTTACCGACTGTTGGGGGAAATTGCTGTTTGTGAGCACCTATTAAGGCCAGCACGGCACACGAGGGGTGTGGATGACCAACGTCACGCCATGGCTGATGTTTTACAACACCGCACCAAATACTAATTTAAGGTTGAGTCAACCTAGGAGAGGGCCAGGACCGGTTTAAATATTCGCCGCTGTTATTTGTTGGTAGGGTGAGCGGGAATCGAACTCCGGTGCCCCAGGTTCGTGGCGCAGTGCGCTAATCACTGCACCACCGCTCCCCGTTCCACACACGCCGCGTCTCATTGCCACGAGTAGCAGCGGTCATTTCGAACGCTAGAGGGCGACTAGAGGACGCGAAATCTTAACCAAGCCACGCGGGATCACGGCCACATCGCTCTCGCAGAGAACTGTTCAGTGCCGAATTTAGCATGTGCGGGTCCTGGAGCATAATACCTGCTATAATCACCCAGAAATGTCTGTCACTCTACATGAGGCCCACCCCCCCCCCCTCATTAATATTCATGAGTGGGTGGATTTTTACACAAACGCAGAGGAAGGTCGAGCTGAATTAAACATTCCTGCGGAGGGAGCTGGTAGGGTTGCTCGGTCAATGGCCAGGGTCAACGGCGGCCAGGTGTATTCCGCAAATATGGCCGACTGTGAGGGCGGGCACAAGCCGGCGTGAGTAGGGAACCACGGGGTGACCAACCCCTCCCCACCCAGCCCCGCCCCTCCCACCCCCCACCCAGCCCCTCCCCACCCTCCCTCCCCACCCAGCCCCTCCCCACCCTCCCCTCTCCACCCAGCCCCACCCCTCCCATTTTTGGATGCACGACGGACGGACGGACACAATAATCCCCTGTGAGCTGGTGGAACCAGGTGGTTCCTACCAGTATACATTTAATACACAAAGTCGCTTCAAATATGACGTTTCTTTACAGAAAGTGACGGTAAAAAATAAATATACGCAGCACAGTGCTACATCCGTGCGTGATGTCACTACAAAAGAGCCCCCCTTCATTTTAATTCATGCCCGCGTGGAAATTTACACTAACGCACAAGAAGGTCGCACCCCTCCACAATAACCATGAAGGGGTGACGTCTCTCCACATGCCGCACCCTTCCCCAATAACCATTAGCGGGTTACGTCACTCCACATGGGGCAACCCCCCTCATTAAAAATCATGAGCTGAACAATTTTTCGATGGAATATTTCAGATTTACTGCAATATACACCCGTCCTTGGACGGGCAAAAAGCTAGTGTTGTAGAGGGGCCCTAAATAAAATAAAAACACATAAACATTAAAACACAGTTTTTACTTGCATAGTAAAGTTATTGTATTTTTTCATTTTCTATACAGCCAGATAATACGACAAATCGCTAACCTCAACACCCAGTCGTTTATAAAAGTTGAAGGCAGTATAGTACTATAGTGACAGAGCAAGTGCAGAATCACTGAACCGGAATTGATAGCTTGAAAGCATTTAGCGCGGGGCCCTTGAAAGTGCGGGGCCCGTAGCATATGGTAGCTACTTTTGCTACTAGGATAACCAGGCACTGCAACTGTTAGTGAAGAGAGGGCCACCGGTCATTGTAATCGCGGCCAATGAAACCCACCGCATCACAATGAGGCTGGCCGTGAAGCGCCCCTGTTAGTCTTCTTGGTTCTTTCGGTAAAGTCACGTAGAAGGGAAGTAATGAAATAATAAAAATAAAACATAATAAAATAATTCTCACGACGTTTCGGCCACAACGCAAGCAGCCGTCCTCAGGTGAAAACCAAGTCTGTCGGGGAGACAGCGTCTGAATGAAACAGCACACGAGCTGTCTCCCCGACAGACCTGGTTTTCACCTGAGGACGGCTGCTTGCGTTGTGGCCGAAACGTCGTGAGAATTATTTTATTATGTTTTATTTTTATTATTTTATTACTTCCCTTCTACGTGACGTTACCGAAAGAACCAAGAAGATGAATCCCTGCAGTCACGAAAGCTTTAAATCGAAATTTAACCGCCCCTGTTAGGTTTCGTGTTCTACGAGAGGCAACGTGCAATACGATCTGATGGAGTTTGTTTTCGCAATGATTTATTTTCGCTTGTACTTTACTTTGAATTTGTAATTTTGCTACATGAGGTTATCTATCCTGGTCTCTTGAGTTTTCACCTGGTTAAATGGTATAACTTGAGCGGGGTGACGCAGTAGTTAGTGGACTGCGCGATAATGCCAGGGTCAGCCGAGTTAGGTTCCGGACAATGTGACATCTGAATGAGTTCCTGAACATCTCACCAACGCGCGATGACCAGCGTGGTGAAGTATGGTCATACGATCCCAACATGGCAGAGGAAGGGCTTCGTCTAGCAGTAAGTAGCCAGTGGACTGTGACTTGTTTTGATTGACACGCACACTCGTACGCACGAGGGTTTGAATGTTATGGATCGATTCATCGATCAATATTGATTTTGTTAAGCGCATGATACATGTGTATAATCGCAGGTGTAAAGCTCCATGATCTCTAGTCGTATATAAGACAAATATTCCTCGTATAGCCTTAACGGACATTTGGGGCAAGTGCTGTTAGCGAGCATCTATGAAGGCCAGCACGGTACACGAGGGGGTGGGTGGCTAGCACCACGACCGACCGCCTTTGTCTCCCCAGATGGGATGTTTATACACTGCACCAGGCACTCATACGAGACTGAGTCGACCTAGAGGAGACCCAGGACCGGTTCAGACTATCTTCACTGGTGTTGGCCGTGAGTTGGAATCGAACTCGGGTCGCCGTCCCCCACAAACTCACATACCTGACGCATGCTTTAATTGTAATTCCGTATTACAGTAATGCCTCGATTTACGTCTTCCCCCTTTTCACGTCGTTTCGCAAGTGCGTCGTCACGTGAATAACACCGCCGCCTGCATTGCGTCGCCTCAACCCCCCACGCTCACGTCGCTGACAGCAGCAGCATCGTCCGTATTTTTCTCGCCTCTCAGCCGTCGCCTCCACCTCACTACCCTGTCAATCGATTTGATTTACGTCGTTTCGATATTCGTCGTCGCGACTTTTCAGGAACGCATCGCCGACGTAAAGCGGGGTATCGCTGTATTATGCCTGTTTTCTCAGGAAAACCTCACAGAGTCGAATTGACTCACGGTCCGGAGGGTCTTGCCAAGTTTAGTTTTGCAGGGGGCAAGGATTGTTGTTGCACAGTACATACACGTACTCCCAATACAATACTGTAATGCACACACACACACACATGCATACTATATACGCATACATACGCCCACTGATATTGATCATATAGACACACACAGAGTGAATACACAGCAAACAAACCTTAGAAGCCTAACCACTACGACGAACAGTGGAAACATAACGAATTAGAGGTGTTTGGCATGCACATGCATGTATGTTGAACTACTTTCACACCGTACGTAGCCAACCGTGCTAATCGGAGGTGCGGACATGGGGAGGGAGGGTATGTTCTCAGCCAGTGTTCTTCATTGCAAGGCCCGCGGCCACTGGTGGCCTGTGATGCGGCCTCTGACGTGCGGCACCCGACAATACACAACAGATGTGAAAACACTCCGGTCGTGCTGTCAAACCTCCAATGGTTTCAAATGTGTGGCAGCCCTCGCACTGGTGAAGTCTTATGGGCGAAAGTGCCCCCCCCACCACTCCTGAAAAGTAGTGAAGAACACTGTTATATGCCCTCTTACTTTACATCCTTCATTTCACCCACCCCCCTCCGCAACTGGACATAAGCCCCCGTGGCTACTACCCCCCCACACACACACGTGCCCCCTTCCTCCCACCGACACCTTCCATCACAAATATCAAAACCGTTCCCTTGAGCCCGTGTCACTGGAACACTCGGTGACAGCGAGTGATGCGAGTGATGCGACGTGACGACCTGACCCCTTGGGATCGACGCGCTCCGATCACCACTTCGATCATCACCACTATCGCCATGAACACCACCACCAACCTCCATTATCACCACCAGCCACTCATTATCATCACCACCTCCTCCATAAATCATCAGCACCTCGTTCATCACCACCAGCTGCCTCATCACCACCAACATCCCTCATCGTCACAATCGTGAGTACTCTTTGGTTCTTTCCGTAAAGTCATGTAGAAAGAAAATAACATAAAAAATAGAATACGACGTTTCGATTGCAACACAAGCAATCGTAATGAGGTAGAAAACAAACCTAGTGAACTTAGAAATACAATGCAATACAACACAGAGAGTCGGCTAATACAACAGTCAGCACTTTACCTGGTTGATTTCTTTCAAAGATTGCTGAATTTGAGAGAGAGAGACAAAACACAGACACGGGGACACAGAGACAGACAAGCAGAGAGAGACAACACAGAGACAGAGAGAGAGACACAATATGTCTATGTTGTTTTCTACCTGATGACGATTGCTTGTGTTGCAATCGAAACGTCGTATTCTATTATTTAATGTATTTTCTTTCTACGTGA